CTTTGTTGAGTCTACAGAGTCAACCTTTTCTAGAGGTAAAATGCATGATGAGATCATCCTTCTGGGCCTTGCAACACCAACTAAGTAAAGACAGGAAAACATCCTAGGCAGTGGCTGCTTGGATGAATACATGTGCTAAACTGAGATTATTGTGTTAGTGAAACAAGTTAGACACACAAGTATCACATGGCTTCTGCTTTATAAGAAATCCAAAATATAAATTAAGAGCAAAATAAAAAAAATGGATAAAAGGAAATCATGAGATAGATCTTTTTCAAAAAGGAAGGTATCCAAGATATGGGGGAGGGAAGAGAGAAGGAAGGGAAAGTGATTAACAAAGAGTTAAGATGTGTTATGTGCATGTACCAATTCCCCAGGAAGAAAAGAATCACAGACTGTAAACACTTACTCATAAAAAATTAAAATTAAAAAATGTCATGGTCATCTAAATTCATTCTTCAACTAAATATTTATTAAGCATCTACTGCACATAGATACTACTCCAGGTGCTCAGTAGGGGGGAAATATTTACCTTAAAAGTCTTTTCAAAATTGGAGGAAAGAAGTAGAGTTTTGAGGGTGCTTTGAAAGCCAGTGTTTGGATAGATTTTGTTAGTTCTTTTGGGTTTCCTTTTGATTTTGCTATTCATATTTATAACTCATCTTCAAACAATTGATTAGAATACTGCCTTGTGCTTTTGCTCTGGGTTGTGTCCTCTGCACCACATTAAAAAACACGTGAACTTTCTTTTCTCCTCCAGTGTTTTATAGCTCAGCAATCAATTCTGAAATACTTAATTCTTTTTTTGACTTATGATTTCCTTATATTAGTTTTGTTTTGTATTATCTATTCTATTTTATCTTAGCTTTTGTTCTTTTTTTGATGAATATTTCTTTGAAACATCCCTAAGATCAAGGCACTAACACTTGACTTGAGAACACAGAGAGCAGAAGTGTACTTCTGTCTGAAAAATAGCCATTTCTAGAAAGTGTTCATGCCAGAGAAAACCAGAACTGGACAGAAGATAAAGTGGTGAAGATAAATTTTATTTGGGACTATTGTGATGGGGAAAGACAGAAGCTAGCAGAGAGCTGGACTCTGTTCTCAATATACTTTAGTATAAAGAAGGACCTTTGATTCCTATGGAGGAGAGTGGATGCACCTTGCGACCATAATGTTAGGTGAAATGACTCAGACACACATGCTTAGGTGTCCCAGGCCTCTCTTATGAGAAACCCAAAATACAAATAAAGCAGTAAAATAAGACACAGATAACACAAATAGCTCAGTGGATTAAAGTGCCTGCAAGCAGGTGCAGGGGCTGGGGGTTTGATTCCCTGGCCAGCCATGCTGGCTCTAACCCTGGGGTGCGCTGAGATGGCAATTGAAACTGGGCATGGTGGCGCGCCCCTGTAATCCTAGATCTTGGGAGGCTGTAAATAGGTGGATCATTATAAGTCCTATCTAGTGGTGAGACCCTGTAGATCCTTCCCTAAAATACAAAATAAAATAAAATAAAATAAAACACAGATAACAGAAAACAGGAAGATAAGATTTTGTTTTGCAAATGAGAAGAGGATCAAGAAATGGAGGGAAGAGGGGAACAGGATGAAAGAGAGTGAAAATATCATGCACATGCAGGAATTCCCCATGAGTAACATGGGCATGTACTGCAGAACACTTACTAATGAAAAAAAAAAAAAAAGACCAAGGCACAGGGATTGCCAGACAAAAACTGCTAGGAAGAGACATCAAGTATGCCAGGGCTTCCAACTGAATCAGCCTTCTAAGGTCTCTACTAATGGCAGACATGGTGACCAGGTGGCCAGGTGGCCAGGGTGAGGAGGGAGGACTCCAGTCAGCTGTGAAGGCTGTGAGCTTGCAAGGGTAGAGGATTTGTGCTAATGTTTGGAGAACATTAGTTGTTAACACTGAATTTTACACTGAAGTGCACACATGAGCCTAGCAAAAGGTTCAAAGGACAGAAGTTTAGCCAAGTGAAGAATATTACTATTAAGATAACATTTTAATAATCTTTATGAACTATAATATGATAATTTAACACCTGTATGGGACATGGAATGTCCAAGTGAACTTTTTTTTTTTTTACTTTTTACTCAAAATCAATCTTTACTCTTTAGTGAGGCTTTTTTTTTAGCTTTTGCATTTAGTAAAATTTAGGAGTTCATGAAATTTAGTAATAAATTAAGAGCACTCATTTGTTTTCTTTTTATGGAGGAAAATATCCATTACATGCTTTCTAGAATCCAATCTGAGACTTTATCTTCTCATTGTCAGATGGAAAAAAATTGTTAGATTTCCATTTAACTTACTGTGTAAATGAATTTAATATTTAATTAAGAATGATCATAGTACATTGGGAGATGACTAGTTGGGTAGCTTTTGTCAGAATAGTGAATTTCAAAACTGTAGAGATAATTATAATGAATAAATGTATTAAGATTAATAACTTAAGGGCCACGATTATAGCTCAGTGGCAGAAGCACCTGCATGGCAAGCACAAAGTCCTAAGTTTGATACCTGATACACCCCAAAAGATCAATAACTAGTTAAGAAAATGGAAGTATATAATTT